ATTAGTTCTTATGATTCCGAGGACCCCAACCAGGAAGTCTAAATCTTCTTAAGTGGTTTAAACTAACTGTTGTCGATTTCATTGACTGAGGAAGCCATACTTAAGTTTGATCACCACTGGCTCTTATCCAACCTCATTAATCCTAAGTCAGCTAACACTTCCCGTTGAGGAAGATGACGGCTATGCATGCGTAACACATGTCCTAGCCATCTCAATCTATGCAGCTGTTTCACAAGCTTGTCCACTGATTTCCTCTCCTTACGTAGCACTCAACTGATGTCTCACCTCAGTATTGCTCACCATATAATATCACCTTACCTGACATGGGAGATAAAACGCAGACACCTATGACCAAAAACAGCTAGCCGTCCTTTTCATATCTTCGACTTTCAATGACCACTTTTGGCTGACAACCATAAAGGAGGGATAGATCGAACTGCTGAGCAGTCGACAGCCGGATATCACATTTATGCCATATTACGTCTACGTCTACGCATCGTAACCTGAACATCCTAGGTTCGATTCCTATTATTGGGGTGTCAAGGGTGGATACTAATAAAAAGAAATCCCAAATAAGGACGAGGCGGCCGTCCAGAACTTACTGACTGTTTTCGATGGTCCCCTAACTGACGCCACTTCATGATCGATCTTAGGATCAATCAAATCCCTGCAAACTAACACCTGAAAATGCCAACGTTGTTTTGAAACACAAACTTCCTCCCTACCCACCCCCCACAGATGTTCACATTGTGCGTCAATGGCACAGTGGTTAGGACTCTAGCCGACCATGCAGATGGTCCGGGGTTCGAGCCCACGCCGACGCACACTTGATATCTATGGTCGGCCTGCGAATTTTGGGCTACCGATATCCATGCTGAAAATTCCATACTTGTACCAAAAAGTACTGTGTGGAAAAAAGCTGTAATCAAAAATAAAAAAATAATCAATCCCATACAAATTTACACAAGCTCACTAGTAGCTCATTTTGAATACCACGCATTTTATCATTCCGTGGTACCTGATATCTGAATATTTTGGTTGGATTACAACAAAGCACTTTCTGTGTCACATGGCACTCTACTTGTTATATATAAAGAGAGAAAGCTTGACTGATAGAAGTCAGCAGTTGATTTGCCTAGCCTACCACCCTAGGACATACCTATTTTACTATAGACCTCTAAAAACACTAGCCTCTTTTTTCAAAAAAAAAAAGTTGGCAGTATTAATCGATAATGTTAAAGAGCATAGCCCAAATATTTCCGCACAAGAACACACCAATCTATCAAATCTGTCTGATTGCATACATAAAAACTTTAAATAATCCTGACACATATTTTATTTGTCTTACACTTATGTGTGATTGTGTTAAAACAGTACAAAATGAATAAAGCAGAACTTGTTGTTTGGTTAAATGATGATTAGCAGTAAATATCCAGAATGAGGTGTTTCGTCCTAATCGGGACTCATCAACTGAATAAGCTTGTATCCCCCTAGTTAGTGAAATTTTTCACAAATACACTCAAAACCTCAGCAATATCAATCGTTTTAAAAGCTGAAACACTATACACTAGGTGGTGAATTTCAATCTTGGGAGGAAATATTATCTGTCACTTACTGGGAATGCAGGTATTGTCTGTCTGTCTGTTTTCGACATAGAACTTTGCACAAATGTGCGGAAGTTCAAGTCGCCACATTCCGTGTAGCACGCGAAGCAAGAGAAGAAAGTACAAGAAAAGCATAATAGAAACAGTGAGCAGAGGTGTGAGACAAAGGAGTAATAAAGAAATACTAAACAGTTTCATTGAAGATTATTAGTCACAGGGAGTGGATGCATCTGCGCCACTGATGAGCAGTACACCCGCCCTTTGGTCGATAGTCGAACATCTCGTCTACGCCAGAGTCGGCGTAAACTAACAAATGCGAAACGAGCCCCTTGTATTCGTGCTGAGATTTCGTCAGAGATCAGCCCGTTGGGGCTGATGGTACTTCCCAAATAAGTGAAGCGGTCAACGTGCTCTACCACTTCACTTCCTATTTTTAAACTAGGCGTCGATGTAGTCCAGTCCTGTAACATCATCTTGCATTTGGCGGGAGCGAATCGCATGCCAAACATTCGTAGATTGCGGCTCAAGGTGTTTAAAAGACTTTGCATTTCGTCAGCGTCTTCGCCTAGAAGGACTATATCGTCTGCATATTCCAAGTCAACGAGATTATTCCCCGGTAGCAAGTCAATTCCTGAGTCACTGAAGTCACCTAGGGTTAAGTCCATTAACACATCTATGATGAAGTTGAATAGAAAAGGAGATAATGGGCATCCTTGACGGACACCACTAGTCGTCACCAATTTAGATGACAGCTCGCCGTAAGCCCTCACCTGGCTGTATGAGTACGAATAGAGTGCCTTAATCAGTGCAATATATTTTCTTGGAATTCCCTTTACAGCCAAGCATCTCCAGAGAACTTCCCGATCGACAGAGTCGAATGCTGCCTTTAGGTCAAGAAATATAATGACTGTTGGACGCCGGTAGGAATGCCTATGTTCTAGAATCTGTCGGAGGGTGAAGATATGATCAATACACCCTCTTCCTGGTCTAAAGCCTGATTGACATGTGTCGAAAAGACTGACTGACTAGTTTCAACATAGTAGTATTTTGCACAGATATGCAGCAGTTCAACTCGCCACACCACACCACATAGCACACAAAGAAGGGATTCAAAACAGAGATACAAAGCCAAAAGAATAGTAATATGGAAGAACAATAATGTCTTATTGGTTAAGTCACAAAGAGTGGATGCATCTGCACCATCCACTGACAACAAGCACTTGGAGCCATATCATCACCAATTATCTCTAGCCATTGGTTTTTAACGTCCTGTTGTGGATGTCATTGACTGATGAAGCCGTGTTTTGGTTCGACTACCACCGACTCTTTTCCAGCCCCACTGATCCTATGTCAGCTAACACTGCCCGTCGAAGAAGCCAATCTATGGCTAGGCATGCGTAACACAACACATTTTCTAGCACTATCAATCGATGCAATTGCTTCACAACCTCGTCCATTGATTCTCCCCCACCTTACATGGCACTCGATCGATGCCTCATCTCAATATTTCTCACCCTATTATACCACCTAACCTAGTATGGTAGATGGAACGCAGACACCTATGGTCAAAGACAACTAGTCAGCCTTTTCATATCTTCCACTTTTAATGATCAGGTCTCATAACCATAAAGAAGGACGGAGCGGACTTCTGAGCAGTATACAGGCCTTTTGGTCGACAGCCAGCATGATGTCATGTCTACGCCAGAGACGGCGTAAACTGGCATATGCAAAACGAACCTTTTGTATCCGTGCTGAGATTTCGTCAGCGATCAACACCTGTTGGAGAGCTGATGCAACTCCCCAAATAAGTGGAGTGGTCAAAAGTGTCAAAAAGAACGAAACATGCATTATACAGATTCCACTGTTAGCCAACATCAACCAAATAAAATCATGTGAAAATTAAGGCACCGGCCAAAAGAGCTCGTGATAAAAACTGGCTTATCAGGAGACACTAAGCATTTCAGACGAATAAGTTCACCTAATGGGACATTCTAAAATATTACTTTATATCAATATGAAAAAAACCGTTATGGTAATGCATCGTTTGGTTATGAGGAAGTCAGATCCACATTCTTTCTATGTGTACGCAATGATAAGCGGAATAGTATATGAATTAACTAATGAAAAGTCTAATGAAGCTTGACTACAGTGATAGAATGTATATGCTCCTCTACCATACTGATACAATCATTCCAGATTTTATGATAATGAGAATCCAAATTGTTGGAATTTCGTCACAAACCAACAAAGGTTAAAGGGATCATTGAGAATCAAAAAGCGCACAAGTCCTAAGTTTTGGGACTCTTCAACAGCGCGCACCACCCACGACCTCTCCCCCGCCAGTGATAGAAACCGGGACCATCAGGTTACGAGGGTAAACTCGCTGTCTATTATTCAGCCCCTCGGATAGGGATTCACTGACCCGTGAATTCTAATTTTGTCCTTGGATTTCTTGAAGCTGTAGTGATAAGTCGTGTTCTGTCAGGTCCAATATATGTCAAGGTGAAGCGGATAGTAGTCATATTGAATGGTTGAAGGTAAAACTGTATTACCTGTTGAAAAAGTTACAATTCATGCGTCACTACTGAATTCCAGCTAGGTGGTTGAATGGTCAACGAGTCTGGTATCGTAACCTGGTGGTTCATAGTTTCATTCGTGGTGGTGGTATTGTTGGTGGCCACTGCCAAAGAGTCCTAAAGTAGGGCAAGGCAGCTGTGCTCTCCTCCCTGGTTTCCACTCATCGCGTTAACTGATATCAGTTCATGACGAATATATGACAGAGAAAATTAGTTCGAAGCCTTACAAATCCCATAATTCATATTAGATCTCAGTTACCCGAAAGAGATTCCCACCAACCAGACTGGGAGCTTCAAGCTTGTAAGTTTCAGTAGCAGTGATGTGGGAGGTCGCTAGCCTGATGCCCAATCCACCGTATTACCGACTATGCGAGTGCGTCGGCGAGAATTCGACACTGAACCATATGCTTAAGCCAGACGAGCCAAATCTCTACTATATATGAGATAATTAAAATATACACTTTCGTAGGTGTTCAGAAGATGACAGTGGACAGTTATTTCGTCCTATCTTTGGACTCTTCATCAATGCCTATCAACGATCCCACTGGCAGGGATTGAAACCACAATAATTATATCATGCTATAATGCGACGTGACAGAAGTTGAAATCAACAGGCCTACTAAATTCCAACCTGGTGGTTAAAATGGCCAAAGAGGATCGCCTTGTAACCTTAAAAGTCCTGTATTCGATTTCTGCCAATGAGACGTAAACTGGGGGCGAAACAGGTGTTTCCCGTCTAGTGTTCCACGGCTTTCAATAATTCTCTGAAGGAATATGTTTATGCATGTATTAGAGGAAAAACTCTCATTCACTCACTCACCTTATCACGTAATGCTTCACCCCATATTTTACTACATGCATTCCATATATCATAACTATCTGATACACAGGCAAATGTTCCTGACGGATATAAGTGGAATAGATTTGAATAGGCATTGGTCTCGTTCTCCTCACCCCATACAGTCATTGCGCTAGAGTTAGAATAGAAAAAAATAGCGATGAGAGTCAGAGAGAAAAATAAATGGGTAATATATACGGGTGAATTGTGAAATTGAAAAAGTAAAAATCACTAATAGGCAAAGTTAAACTTTAGACACCACTAACAACCAATCAGCAAACGACCTTGAAGGGACCAATCACATTAAACAAGAATATATGATGAATAGAAATGTATATTTATAGAAAAAAAGCATAAAATAGGTAATAAAAACGTTACATGGGATATCTTTCTTGAACATGTGAGAGAAACATCTCCCAGTTTAGCATGGGACTGTCAATGGAGAAGTTACACCATATCCTGTACATATATTCATCCAAATGACTATAAATGAGATCCTTTTGAGATCCATTTATAGCCCTTATCCTATTTTTCAACCTGCCCCAAAATCCTTTCTTTTTTACCAGCACTGTTTCATCGACATGCACGATAACGTCTTGTCCACCCAGCAAACTAGTGATTTTCTCCATTTTCCATGATGCGATATCTCTGCAATGCTGGTACCACTAAGCAGTTGAGACGAGGTTATTCTCCGTCCCGGCTGCTGCTCCTCTAACCGGCTGTTTCAACACTTAGTAGTTGCAGATGTATAAAATCTGGGTTAGGGAGAGATGCGACCTAACGAAAAAAGTTCCTACGAAATATTAAAATAATCAGCCTACCTTCTCTAATACTAGCACGCTTCAAACATATAGCACAACGATGAACAAATGCATCAATTGATCTGCTATAGCTTTTTAAAGTCATGATACCACCACACGAACAAGTTTGCTCCTTTCGGAGCAACTCTAAATCCAGGCAATACTGGAAAACACTATCCTCCTCGAATTGCAACCGTAACCTTGTAAGGGCACGCATTTGAAATGAATCAAGCGCTATACAACATTGAACTACGTTCTTGAGCCTCATTGGATAATTCGACATCGTTCGTGAATCTCATTGGATAATTCGCTGATTGGTAGTTAGTGGTGTCGAAAGTTTAACTTTGCCCACTAATATCTGAAACTGATTTCTTTCCCCATATAATATATAAACATGTATTGGAGTGTAGAAACTAACTTAAACCCCACATATCAATGATCATGAAGCTTATCTCTCATGGAACATAATGTTGATACGTGGATCCAAATAGAAGAATGATCGAATGAGCTGATTTCGTAACCTGAAAGTGCTATGTCCGATTCCCGATGGGGGGGGGCGGGGTGTGTGTGCGCACTGATGAAGAGTTCCAAACTAGGGCGAAACAGCAGTCCAGCACTCCCGGCTGGTTTTCCAATAGTTTTCTAACTGATGTCAGCTCATGACGAATTGTTCCAATCCAATCAAAAATGGAATTTTAAGTGGTGGTTTGTAGGGATTTGGTTGGTTGGTTACACGATTTCATCATGAGCTGACATTGATTAGAGAACCATTGGAAAACCTGGGAGTACTGGACAGCTATTTCGCCCTAGTTTGGGACTAGAATTCATGGGCCATTAGATCGGGTCCCAGTGGCTTAATGGTATAAAAGCTCGTCTTGTAACCAGAAGGTCCTTTGTTCGAAACCCGATGAGTGAGTACTAATGAAGAGCCCCAGACTAGGACGAAACAGTTGTCCAGTACTCCCAGGTTTTCCGATGGTTCTCTAACCAATGTCAACTCATGATGAAAGGAATTTTAATTTCGTGATGCTACATACTGCTGATAGAAACGAGTAGTTTGAAACCACTAACATCAATCAGCGGCGCTTTCCCTGATATGGTTAAAGCTATCCAAACGTGGAATAGTCAGGAGGAGCAATAAATTCCGTTGAGAATAATGAGGATTTAATGAATATGGGAGGTTAAGAAGCGTGAATGAATACACAGCAACGATAACGATTTCGAGTCTTACATACCAGTAATAGTCTCCAACCATTGGATCTTAGCATCCCAACGACCTCAATCAGGCTCAAAAACTTGTGGTAGTGTGATACAGACAATGTGCGTCAACGGAATATTATTCCATTTACCCCACAGTTCAATTCGGCATTAGCAACAGAATAAAAGATATCTATTTGAACATTCCATTTGATATTAGAGAAAGGATACTTTCCCACAGCGAATAGCGAGTTAAATCTTCTACTCAAAAAGAAAGACCGGTTAAGCTTGAATGCCTTCAGAATGTTGATGTGGCAGGAGGATAACGGAAGCTGCAGTAATACCTCAATGCCTGCGCCAACTGAACATACAGTTGTTGCCAGAACGAACGATCTCCTGCGACAAAGCATGTACTGGTCAGGTATTAGAGAAGACGTCAAGAAGTACGTAACAGCGTGTACGTAATGTCAGCTAACGAAAGGTAACCAGTACATACGACCGTCACCACAGTCGATTGCACTGACAGAAGTGAGTGACTTGTAGTCTGTAGATGTAGTGGGACCTTTTCCCTGGACGTCCAACAGCAAAACAATATCTTCTGGTAATGACAGAACATGCCACGCGATCCCCGATCAACGGGAGAAAACGGTGAAAGAAGCAGTGTTTCGAAATGTCGTTTCAGACCACGGTGTGCTAAAAGCGATATTGACAGATCAGTGTCCGCGTTTTGAACGTGAAGAGCTTAAAGTCCAGTTGCAAGAGTTAGGTATCAAGCAAATTAGAACAACGCCAAGTCATCCACAAACAAACTGCTTGAAGGAGAGAAATAACCGTACCCCTGGCTAGTCACAAAGGGGGGTAACTGGGAGACAGAGCTCCCACTGATTCTGCTAGCATATCGTGCTTCCGCCCAAGAAACGACGAAGAAATCACCGTTTCAGTTGATGTACGAGAGGAAACCACGACTACCGATAAATAACAAGACCTGGCCCCGCCACCAGCAAGCAGTGGAGTATGACGAAATGGCAAACGGAGAGGAAAGAAGCAATCAGCAGGGTAAAACGAAAGCAGAAGATAAACGAAATGAAATCCAAACAGAGGGTAAAGAGGAAGTACCCAGCATTCGAGATCAGAGGTCAAGGTAAATGTAGAGATAAGAGAAACACCGATTGATGCTTTTAAAGTGGGAAGGACCATACACGGTCACCGCGAGACGGGGTCACGCATATACCATCAAAAATGCAAATAAAAAGAAGCGGGTGACCGTCAGCGAGCTCCAGAAATGGATACAGAGAGACAAACAAACGAAAACGCCAGCACCAAGAATATCAAGCCAATTTCAGTCTAAACTATTTAACGGGGGACGAGTGTGGTGGTGTAATACAAACAATGTGTGCCAACGGAATATTATTCTCACATATTCCCAAAGTTCAATTAGGCTTTAGCAACAAAATACTATGTATATTTGAACATTCTACTTCATGTCCTTTGATGTAAAGCGTTGGTGGCACAGTGGTTAGGACTCTCGCCAACCATGCACATGGTCCGGGGTTCGAGCCCACACCGACGCACACCTGACATCTATGGTCGGCCTGGGAAATTTGGGCTACCGATATCACGCTGAAAATTCCATACTTGTACCGAAAATACGGTGTGGAATCAAGCTGTAATCAAAAAATAAAAATAAATAAAATATATAATCCGCAGTTTGATCAATGGAAAACATACTTGCCGTCTGTCGTTACAGTCTTGGTAGACCGGTGCCAGGTTATCGTCTGAATAACCACCCCCTTACTCATTTCCAAGCTAATTCTATATCAGATAACACTGCTTATCGAGGAAAGCAATGATGATGGCTCAGCATACAGCTCAACAACCTTTATCGATTAATTTACCCTCACTAAGCCCAACTTCAATATTAATGAGTACATATATAGTACCACCCAATAGCATATAATTATTTTTATTCTACTTTCTTGTTATAATTACAAGTTTCATTTTTGTTGTGAGGTGTCTTTGAAATAGTGAACAAAGTTAATAGGTTACTCTCAATGTTTTTCTGAATATAATTACTATTATGGCTACTAGTAGTGAAATGAACAGGAATATTGAGGTCAGAAGCAATGTCCCTCTCTCTCACACACATACACACACACACACGCCTTACATTGATTTCACTATATACGAAATACTAATGATACTAATGTCCCTATGTCCTTCCTACTTCTCTTTGAATTTCTTCTTATTTGGCTTTTTCAATAGACCCCAGACAAAAATCACCATTGCTCCTTCGAAAACATTACCGCATATACTACTTATTTCCACTTATAAGTACCATCCATATAAGTATGACAAAAGAATCAGAAAAGCAATAAAGACCCTTATTACTGTGAATTCAGTGTGGAAGTAAAAATCTACTGCATTCAGTATATGGAGCAAAAACCGGAATTCTTAACACTAATATCCACTTCGTGCTTCTATATGGCTCAGAGACTTGGTGATTGCATCGCGGGACGCAGTTTGAATAGGCTATGGAGGACATTCATTGACGCCTGCCACGATACTGAAGATTAAAATGGTCACAAAGAATAAACAACAAGGAAATCTGGTGACGAAACAACCAAGAACTCATTGTCCAACGAATATGCTGATGAAAATGCAGATGGATTGAAACCACTGAGTGATGTTACATACAAGACAGGCCCTCGAGTGGGAAGCGACAAGTTGGGCATGAGTGAGATCATGTGTAGAAGTGCCAGCTAAAAAAAACGCCAGAGAGGACACAATCAAATGGCTCTGCACTGCTGAATCCACATGTTCCACTCGGAACCCAACAGAATAATGATAAAACGAAGAAGAATGCAGTGAAATCCACAAGAATTGACAGGATTTGAAAAATCATGAGACAGCCGCTTATGTTTCAGTGTCTTTATACGACCATCACCCTTAACATTTAAGTGTGTGTATTACCAAGATGTAGCTACTTGAACTGCTGCACTTCTATGCAAAAATCTACATCGAAAATTTACAAATGACCGGCTAGTAGAAGGTAATCAGCTTTTCTGGAATGACAACCGTAGGACATATCCAAATCACCCAATTCTGGTATCCCAAGATGACAATAGTAATCGAAAGGCGATCCTCACCATTTCCATACACACACACCACTAAACGTCAGAATTACTTACATGATGATGCCACCCGAATGTAAGTAATTTCACGTACAGAGTGTTGATAAAAAACCTTGAGACGCCGCCCACGTCCTCAGATTTTAAGAATGGATGCACCAAAGGATTGTTAACCCGATCTTTTTGACAGACTGGTTAAAGTCACGACGGCACCAGAACTGGAGCCTAGGATGGTGCATGCGATTATGGCTTCCATCATACGATTAGAGATCCTATCCATCACACCCTAAACAATGTCAGTACTCATACAACTGTCTAGATTCATAAACTTACCCAGTACTTGTAACGAATCACCTGCAAGGTTGAATGCAGATACAAGATAGCGCCACTCTTGTAACAGTACATACCACACTTATAGACTCTTTTATGACGTTAAATGCAATTGGCTTTGAGGACTTTTTTTTCTTTTGTCAATTGGTTAGAATTCAGAGACTATGAGCCACACCCATATCATGTTAATACTGCCTAGTTGTCACAATTGGAGAAGACAGATCGACACATGGGACCTCAAAACTTATTGATTCAAAATAGAGTTTATGAGCTGATGAAACTTAGCTCATATTGCATTCAAAAATAAGATAATGCTACCGAGAAAGTCGTTTCTAAATACTACTCTAATAACTCGTTTCAAATACACTCACATGCACTATCGAGCTAGACACACATCGACAAAAACTGAAGACAACGTAATGAATTAAATTTATCAACTACATAATAAAGAATAGGCCACATGATAGAAAAAATCTGTCAAATTCCAAGTGAATGCAAACGATCAATACTGGTGCAAATTAACGACAACCAACTAATCACAACAAAGGATGTCAGGAGATACAGTGATATCATCCATAGGGTATTGAAATAAGTTCACTAAAGGATTTCATCAAGAACTGACATCCCTTAGAGACCCATTGGAAAACCAGCTGGGAGTACTGGACAAATAACTGTTTCGTCCTATTTTTGGACCCTTCATCAGTACGCGCATCCAGTGAGGTTCGAACCCAGGACCTTCTGGTTCTGTCTGTCTGTTTTCCACATAGAACTTTGCACCGATGTGCACCAGTTCAAGTCGCCACACTTCACTCACCAAACAAACCCAGAGAAGAAAGTTAAAAAGAAATGCAAAATAGAGACAGTAAACAGAGATATGAGGCAGAAAGAATAGTAATAGCGAAGAATATAGTTTTATTGGATATTATAGGTCACAAGGAGTGGATGCATCTGCACCAGTCATTGAGAACGATTCCGAACCATATCATCAATTCTCTCCAGCTGTCATTGGTTTTTACCGTTCCGAGGACCCCAACCAGTCAGGAAGTCTACACCTTCCTACATGGTTGACTTAAACTAACTGTTGTGGATTTGATTGACTGGTGACATCTTTTGGTTTGACCTCCGCTAGCTCTTTTCCAGTCTAACTCTATGTCAGATAACATTTTCTGTCGAGGAAGGCAATGGCTAGGCATACGTAACACATGTCCTAACCATCTCAGTCGATGTGGCTTCACAGCCTCGGTGATCCAGGACACGACGTCTAACCTCAATATTCGTCACCCTATTATACCACTGCACATGGGAGATACAACGCAGACACCTCTGATCAAAGACAGATAGTCAGGCGTTACATGTCTTTCACTTCCAATGGTTGTGTCTCTCTCACAGCCATAAAGGAGGATGGAGCGGACTGCTGAACAGTACACACGCCCTTAAGTCGATAGCCGGACATCACGTCTACGCCAGAGACAGCGTAAACTGGCATGTGCGAAACTAGCCCTCTGTATCCATGCTGAGATTTCATCAGAGATCAACCCGTTGGCGTTGGCTGATGGTACTTCTCAAGTAAGTGAAGCGGTCAACATGCTCTACCACTTAACTTCCTATTTCTAAACTAGGAGTCAGTGTAGTCCAGTCCTGTAACATCATCTTACATTTGACAGAGGGAGCGAATCACATGCCAAACATTCGTAGATTGCAGCCTGTCAAGGTGTTCAGAAGACCCTGTCTGCATTTTGTCAGCGTCCTCGCCTAGAAGGACTATATCGTCTGCATATTCTAAGTCAACGAGATTATTCCCTGGTAGCAAGTCAATCCCTGAGTGGCTGAAGTAAGTTAGCGTCAATTCCATCAGTACATCTACGACGAAATTGAATAGAAATGGGGATAGTGGGCAGCTCTGACGGACACCACTAGTCGTCATCACTTCAGATGACAACTCACCATAAGCTCTCACCTGCCTGACTGCATGAGTTTGAGTAGATTGAATGCCTTGATCAGTGCAATGTATTTTCTCGGTATTGCCTTTACGGCCAAGTGTCTCCAGGCCTTCTGGTTACAAGGCGAGCTAGCTCTAGCCAATGTCAGAGTTCATGATGAAATCCTGAAACCAATTAGTCAAATACCTGCAAACCAACACACCTGAATTTCACTTAACATTGAAGCCTACAGTGAAGGAATTTTGTCTAGAAGGAAGGACAATGAAAGCTTAGCAATCAAAACTCCCAACCCCACCCACTCACACTTAAACTAAAAACATCCAACTGAGACGCAAAACGCTCCTTTAAAAATATTATTTCCTCCAAAATTAGCTTACACGTAAGTAGAAATGCATGTGTTAACACAACTAACCTGTGTTCTGTTGCTGGTATACTCAAACCGGCCGTTGGACAGTTATAATAATGTCTGCCCAGGTGTAATGCTGCTAGACTGTCAGTCCCACGGAAATTCACCAGATGCGCAATCCCACCAATGGCTGCAGACTAGGTATACAAAACAAACAAAAGTAAAACAAGTATAAACATTCTTCTAAATAAGGTATCAGATATGATTGGAGGAGAAGGAGGTTATTTGCAACTAAGACGTAGAAAATAAAGTTCAAAACTAGAATGTCAGTTTATACTATACTGATTTATAAATGAGTTACTTTCAAGTTTGACCACGGGTTGATATCAGTTAGTTATCAGTTAACATAGTAAACCACCCAAGGAGTACCGGATAGTCAGCTGTTTCGTCCTAGTGCGTGACTCATCAATCGCATACACCCGCCAGGGTTCGAACCCAATGGCTGAATGCTCCTGGGTTCGAAACTTAGTGGCAGATGCGTGCTACCAATGAGTCCCAAACCAGGACGAAACAACTGTCCAGTACCCCTTGGTTTCCTATGATTCTCAAACTAATATCGATCCGTGATTAAACCTGATGCAAATCAAATGTCTACAAGCAAACTCATGAGAAAAAGAAGAGTGGTTAGTGACCAAATTAGTGATCTAAACACTAGTCTGCCGTTACATGCCTAACCACCGCCTCCCCCGACGGGCATTGCTAGCTGATATAGGTGCAGGTTGGAAGAGAGTAAGTGGTGGCCAAACAAAAACATGGCCTCATCAATCCATGAAATCCTTAACAGTTAAACTGAGTCAGGTAGGGAGATGCAGACTCCCGGGTTGGGGCCCTCGGGACTCTAGGAATCAATGGCTGGAGACAATAGGTGACATGGCTCAAAATCGTTGTCAATGGCCAGCGCAGATGTATTCAGTCTCTGTAATCTTTCATATTCCTTTCTACCATTACCCATTCTGTTTCACTCTTATACTTGTCAAACTCTATTGATTCTCTTCACTCATCTTCTTGTCTACCTTTGTGTGGTATTTGGAACGTGGCAACTCGAACTGGTGCACTTCAGTGCCAAGTTTTATGTTGAATCCAGACAGACAGACAGACAGACAGACATGCGTTTTCGGGCTTTCATTCCATGTTAGCGGTGTATTCGGTTAGACTTATCTAAGACAGTCCAGTTTAGTTGTTGAAATTAGACATTTGAAAATTATACACAGCTCAAAATAGAATTTTAACACGGTGATCTGAATTATGCTAGATTTCCAAAGGGAAGGGATACTGGGTTTTTTCTCACAAAATAAGGTGTGTAATTAATTAATATAAGTATAAGAAATAAATTCAATGCACTGTTCATTCGAATTAAAATTCATCACCCCGTACCTTAATTTCATAGTCTGTCTGTCTGTTTTCGACAGACAGACATAGACTTCAAAAAGACCTTAGACAGATAGCGTTGACCAAGAAGTAATTCAGAAACTGCTTCAACACTACGGCGTACATCGCCAAAGTCTCTATTAACCTCATTCAATAGAGCTGGCTATATGACAATACAAGGTAGGATCCACACCAGAAAACTCAGCAAGGCGTTCGAAATGAATACAGGAGTAAAACAAGGCCAGCTGCCTATTATCACCGATGATATTCTTAACTGTGGTGGAATGGATTATGCATCAGACTGTGTGCAAGCAGTGAGAGAAGACAGGAATACACTGGACCATCCCTAAGAAAACTCTAAAGATCTGGATTTCGCGTGTAGACGATTTATGTCTGATTTCATATACACACAAACTTTTTTATTATTACAGCTTGATTCCACACTGTATTTTTGGTTCAAGTATGGACTTTTCAGCATGGATATCGGTAGCCCAAATTTTGCAGGCCGACCATAGATATCAGGTGTGGTTCGTCGGCAGGGGATCAGACCTCGGACCATGTACATGGTCGGCGAGAGTCCTAACCAACGAACTAGCCGAAGAAGAAGGTAGCCAGCGAAGACAAGACTCCAGGTGAACATGGAGAAGACGGAGGTGATGAAGATAACCATCGAACAGCAGCAGCAACAACAACAACAACCAGCACCAATCCCCATCAACGGGAGAGATTTAACAGAGGCTATTTCCTTCATTTATCTGTCCAGGAAGCACAGTTTCTACCACACATACACACACACACCAAGTGGATGGAGATATCAAAGCCAGTCAGCTAGAATAGGAAAGACATGATTCGCCTTCATCAGCCTGAAACCAGGTAGAAAATCTTCTGCACTCCGCCTCAGCTAGCATAAACAACAAGATTCAGATTTTCAACACAAATGTGAAGTCTGCCAGTCAATCAGTTCTTCTATATGGGTCATAGATTCGGTGAACGCGTCACAAAAAGGATTTCCAGCAACTTGCAGACTTTTATCAACACCTACAACCTTCGCTGGCTTCATATTGAAGATAAAATGGCCAGAAAGAATTAGTAACAAGAAAAGAAAAGAAAAAGAATTAGTAAATCTGGCTGGAAACAAACCAACAAGAAAGAGCCGATCAGGCTTACATTGAGGAGATCGTCGAATGAAATCGCACTCACTGCAGGCCATTGCTCCAGTGGAATCCGAATGGGAAGCGACGAGTAGGTCGTTGGTGCGAGGAGGATATGCAGGAGATGAGAGATTATGGGCAATCGTGGACCCAGATGATGAGGACAGCAGAAAATAGAACGAAGTGGAGATCTGTTGTTGAAGGCAGCCCTGTGTTCCACTCAGAACCCAAGGAAATAATAATAATAATAAATAATGCTGTTAATATTGAAATAAGAACGAACAGTTCGGTGAAGATTTTGTTTTCTTGGTGAATTCATTCACTTAGCTGTACAGTATATATATATATATATATATATATATATGTATATATGTATATACTGTACAGTGGCTCAGTGGTCTACGAGCTCGCCTTGTAACCAGAAGGTCCTGGGTTCGAATCCCGGTGGGTGCGTACTGCTGAGGAGTCCCAAACTAGGACGAAACAGCTGTCCAGTACTCCCAGGTTTTCCAGTGGTTCTCTAACTGATGTCAGCTCATGATTAAATTCTCCATGCAATATATATAATTATTGTTTTGTATGTGTGTATATGGCACACGAATATAAAATTAGCTTGGAGGATTGTTTATATCATGAAAATATTCCGAAAACGTGACGAATAATTAAAATTGTAACTAGGTGGGGAGAGGGTGAGGACCAGTAAGTCTAGACTAATTATCACATAGTACGAAAAACCTTCAGAGAAAAAAAGAATTAGATGTGTAACTGAAGAGCATGGAGACAAGCTGATAACCCTTAAAAATAACAACATCACATCTAGTGAAACTTTAAATGTTGCAACCGCATGTTCCATTCGGAAAACGAGGAACGAAGAGATAGAGTGGTGCATACAGTAATCTAATCTTGGTGACTGAGTCCTGATTGACTACTTTCAACATTGAACCACTTTGCACAGATGTACACCACATCGAGTTGACACAATCCCACCCATGTGAAGTGGTATAATAAGGTGAGGAATATTTAGGTTAGACGTCGAGTGCTGGGTAGGTGGGAGGGGAAATCAATCGACAAGGTTGTGAAATTAGATTGACTGAGATTGTTAGGACATGTGTTACGAATGTATGCCTAGTCATCACCTTCCTCAACAGTGGGCAATGTTAGCTAACATAGAGTTAGGCTGGAAAAGAGCTAGTCGCGGTCAAACCAAAACATAGCCTCATCAGTCAATGAAATCCGAAATGGTTTGTTTAAGCCAGTCACGTAGAAAGGTGTAGACTTTCTGACTGGTTGGGGTCCTTGGAACGGTAAAAACTGTTAACAGCTGGAGACAATTATCGGTAATATGGCTCAGAATCGTTCTCAATGGCTGGCTGGCGCAGATGCATCCATTCCTTGTGACTTATGATTTCCAATGAAACTATATTGTTCTTCGTTATTACTATTCCTTTGTCTCATACCTCTGTTTACTGTCTTTATTATGCATTTCTTCTCTTGCTTTGTGTGCTGCGTGGAGCGTGGCGACTTGAACTGGTGCACATCGGTGCAAAGTTCTATGTCGAAAACAGACAGACAGACACAAAACAATAGAAGAAGGCAAAGAAAGATTCAAAAGAGAGATAATAAACAGAAGTATGAGGCAAAAAAATATATTAACATGGGAAAACAACAGAGTTTTACTGTGTATTATAAATCACAAGGAGTGGATCCATCTGCACCAGGCATTGACAACAAGGAATTTGGTTCTTACCATCCTGAGGACCCCAACTAGTCAGCTAGCCAACACCTCCCTCCGTGGCCAGCTCAAACTAACTAATGTGGATTTCATTGACTGATGAAGCCATGTTTTATTTTGACCACCACTGGCTCTTTTCCAGGCTCATTGATCCTATGTCAGCTAACACTGCCCGCCGAGGAAGGCGATGGCTATATATGAATAACACATGTCCTAACCATCACAATCGATGCAGCTGCTTCACAACCTCGTCCATTGATTTTTCCTACTTACCTAGCACTCGATCGACGCCTCACCTCTCAATTATTACTCACCCTATTATACCACCTTACCTAACACGGGAGATAGAACGCAGGCACCTACTATCAAAGACAGCTGGCCGGCCTTTTCATTTCTTCCACTTTTAATGACCATTTCTTGCTCACAGCCATAAAGGAGGACGGGAGGAAATGCTGAGCAGTACACACGCCCTTTGGACGACAGCCAGCCGGATATCACGTCTACTAAGCCAGGGATGACATAAGTTTGCCTATACCAACCAACTCAGTCCATATAACAAACATTTTCTCATAGTCCTTTTTTCATTTACTTTATAGACAAATGGACAGAAATAATGAACAGACATTAAAAGATTAAAAAGTACAAAGTACAAAAGAATAAGTCAATTTTTTAACAATTTAAACCAATCCTCAAACTTATCGATTATTCCAGTGTACACTTTGTCTACACATTGGCTAGATGTGATACACTTCAAAATGAAAACATTCGACATTAAAACTAGTGAAATAGTAGAATACCAAAGTTCAAATGAACCTATTTAGTTAGCAATTTGTAAGCCTTTAATTATTCCTTTTGTTGGCCTTTATTACCTGACTTATTAGTTAAA